CGATGAGTAAATTGGTATATTCTTACTCAATCCATGAGTAATGTTAGTTTACGTCACTCGACATCTGAGTAATGATAATTTGGTTTACTCAGTCTTTGAGTAAAGACGATGTTTTACTCAAACTTTTGAGTAGGTTTACTGAAGAAGCGTCCAGAGTAAAATGAATTTACAATTTTACTCAATGGATGAGTAATTTTACTCACAAATGGTGTACATTTACTCCTTCCGCTCGAGTCAAATGACTCGCCTATTGCCCATCAAGACAATTTTACTCACGTTTCTGAGTAGAATTACTAACAACGAATATTTACTATGTTTTTACTCAAGCTTGAGTAAAGCTAATTCACTTTACTCAAACGATGAGTAAATTGGTATATTCTTACTCAATCCATGAGTAATGTTACTCGATATCTGAGTGCTGATAATTTGGTTTGCTCAGTCTTTGAGTAAAGACGACGTTTTACTCAAAATTTTGAGTACGTTTACTCAGGAAGCGTCAGAGTAAAATGAATTTGCAATTTTACTCGCTGTATGAGTAATTTTACTCACAAATTCAGTAAATTTACTCATTCCGGCCGAGTCAAATGACTCACCTACTGCCGATAAAGACAATTTTACTCACGTTTCAAAGTAGAGTTACTCAACCGCTGAGTAAAACATGCCAATTACTCAAAGTGTGAGTGACTTTGCTCGCAAAATGAGTAATTTGACTCAAATTGAGAAGTGGATTTTTTGCAGTGTACGAGCATTGAAATGAATAAGTGAGAATTGATCGAATTTGTTAGAGTGTTCAGAAACAAAGGTATCCTCAAGAAGGTAATTATTGTTGTTTGAAATACACGAGTTAAAGAAGTGCTCATCAGAGTCCAAGTTATTGATATTTGTTAAAGTTTCGGAGATTGGATTAAATATTAAGTCTTTAAAGGGATCAATATTAAACGTAAATTCAATATTCGATTCGCGGAGAGCCAACAAGAATTCTTCGTCATTATCAAAGTGGTTGAATGGAAAAATAGAGGAGAGACACGGTGCACAAGACCAGTCCATTTTAACGGCTGTCTTCGCTGATTTAAAATTCAGGCCAGAACAATTCATATCGAACCATGCTAGACAATGGTTGCATTGTGTCGCGTGGTGATTAGCATTAATGAGCTTGTTGCATTTAAAACATACACAGTTATTCATATGTAAACACACAATAATAAAGTAATAATAATAATTTTAAATAAAAAATCAAAAATGAGAGAAAAAATATACTAAGTCATCTATACACCTGCATAAGCCAAACATAAAATAAAAATATATACGGCTTATACGAAAAAATCATGAGTTCCGAATTACACAATTAATTAATTAAGAATTTAGGACAACCTAGAAAGTTCACTGTTGCTTTCTAATACAACTTTTCTTTTATCAGAGAGAAGGGCAATAATCCTACCGTCATTGGTCCAAACTGAACTAACATTTGGATGTCTGGAAACAGTGGAGTAAAGCTCTGCGCGTTTCTTCGTCAAGCTTTCGGATATACCAAGAGCCAAACCCTTTAATTTTCGTTTGTTGCGGTATACTTGAGATCGAATATTGTGTGACAGAAACTTTACGATGATTGGACGTGGCCTTGGACGTGATTGAACATTAGGCACTTTCCTCCCAAGGCGGTGAGATCTATCGAGGTCTGCCTCACTAATTTCTAAACCGAGTTTTTCTTTCATAATGCCCACAACAATAACGTCTGTATTTTCAGCTTGGCTTCGAGTAGCCGCACCCTCTTGCTCTTTTACACCGTGAAAAAGGAGACAATTTCGCCGTCCATATTGCTCAAGGTTGTCAATTCCAAGGTGAAGTGTCTCATTAGATAGCTTCAGTTGATTGTAGGATTCTTCTAGACCTTTTACTTTAAGGGACAGATCATTATTGTCGAAGGACAAACTTTCATAAATTTCTTGCTTCATTGGTTTCGCCTTCTCCATAAACTTATTCATGACGGCCTTCGAGAATTCATCATTACTTGTTATGTTACTAGCAATCGTGTTGATAATCTCTGTGTCATTTCTTATCGTTTCAACAATAAGCGACGAGACAGCATTTGCAATTGCTTTAACAACACTGGAATCACTGACGATTAGGTCTTCGATCTGTTTCTTTAACTTAGCCGCAGCGGCCATCTTTCCGAACTGTAGTTCTACGTTGCTTAGATTGGTTCGTATCGTTAATTTATGAAAGAAACTTCACGGTTAAAGATGCTCGACGTTGGAAAAGACAACCAAAATAGTTTCTAGCGAATAGAAGGCTTACAGCAGGCGTAGAATACAATATTATGCGGAGCTGACCATACTACGTCCTCACTGCATCACGACCCGACCGTCATGACGAATACGAATTTAGAACAGTTCCTTTCACGATTTCTTGTTGCAAATTCCATTTTTATCACCCGAAACTATAACACATAAAATTGCAATGTTCCAAACGCAACAAAGAGCTCCTCTACTACCCCTCCCTGAGATCAATTTCAATTTATTACGCAGAATCTACGAGACACGTGACTAGCCCCGACCAGGGACTTTCCTCAAAAAGAGGGAAGAGCCTGGGAACGAGGTTGCCAGTGACCCGGTCTTGTTCATTGTTACTTGCATCTTGCTTAATTGAATTGTTTTTGCTCCATTTCTTGTACCCATAAAGTTCTTTTCAATAATCTAGAAAACTTCAAAATCATTCAGTAAATTTAATTTAAAAATTTGGTGAAAGGGATCAATAAATGAAGAAATCATTCCTTCTTGTTCATACATATGGCCCCCATCCATGTCAGGTGTTAGAATATAAATTTATTGAAGCCTTCAGAAAATAACTATGGCAACAAGGTTAAACGTTACACTGCAGAGTTAGGCAATTTTTTTAAAGAACTCAAGGGCACAAAAGGTATAAATGTAGGAGCAAGGGAACAAAATGAAATTTTGAGATTCGGGGGCAGGTTTTACGATAAGGTGCTAAACCTTTTCCCTAACAAATCCCTGACCAGCTGTAGTTGTCATGGATATTAAAAATACTCATTAACTCACTCACATTAAATAATGCTGAATATTTGCTGCAAGTGATGTTTGACTATTGAAATATCCTAGCAGGTTAGGTTAATCAGATTTTAGCTTTGTCAACCTGGCCACTCTGTTATTACAGTAATGGCTCATTTAAATAATTTCAGGTCATTAATGCAAATGTAAAAACAAAGTATTAGAAGTTAATACTGCTATAAACTGTAGTTTAATAATACTGTAAGTGTAAACACGTTTCTAGCAGCGATAAATAAATATTTTAAATAATAATCATGTGAGAGTAGAACTTTACTGAGAGTCTGAGTATAGTATTATAGGCCATATTCTGGTTATGTGGTTCTCAATATTTAAACTACAAATTCAGCTAACTATATACTGTGTCAAATATATTAAATAGCCTTCGAAATATATATTTCATAGAGCTAGTCAGTGCAACAAATAATGGGAATCTGCTAAATAATTTGTAACAATAAAAATCTTCTAAACATTTTATAATTCATACTGTACCTTTTACTTGATGGAAATCATCACAAATTAGTATATATACGAAGTTGGCTCCATTATTTTCCTTCGAAATATTTTAATTTTGGAATAGGTAATAGGACCTCTACATGCGTCTTGGACCTATTTGCTTGTAATCATTATTTTTTTATTTTTTTTATTAGTTTTACAATAAGAAATTGAAGGCACAGACAACAGGACTAATAAAGTCCCAAATTAAGTCCTGCCATACATGAAAATACTATGCTATACTATACTATAAACGGTTATAAAATTAACAAAATACACAGGGGCGCCGGAAGCAATATGAAGCGGCGGGGGCAGCCATTTCAAAAGGGCAATTGCTTCTCAGCCATCATTTTTTCTGGGCGGCAATATTTGTTAAAACTTTACTGTATGGATACTCGATTACTTGTGACTATTATGGGTCTGCAAACTTCGACATTAATTTTGAACAATTTTATTCGTTGATGACAATGATGATAACAATATTTAAAATCAGGTCATTTCAAACTTTTGTAATACTACGACGAACATTTGGGTCAACTTGTGTCCGGTGCCCCGCGCACAGTGAATGACGCGCAAATGACACTTAATATATGTAAACAAGATGGCGCAAAATCGACCTAAGCGAACTTATACGTTTTGCCGAAGAGTACAGTGACTACATTCCTAGGCCTTCGTCCAAATGCTCCAAAAAGTCCGCAAACACGCCGGGTCAGCTCTTCCCAAAAATCGGCCATCTGATATAAACTTTTTCAATATATTTCGGATGAACATGAAACTTGCTACATCAATATAACTTTCCATTCCGAACAATCGTATGTTTTTTATTTTTGAGATTTAACGGTTTTTGGCGGGAAAATGACGTCACGAAACCTCCAGTTAAAATTTACTTTCAATATCTTAATAGTTTTGTCGCAGAATTTGGAAGAACATGTCATGAACAGTTCAAAACTGAACACGGATTTTAAATATCTAAACCTAATCCAAAGTTATTTCACTATAAAAACCGTGAAAAATCTAAAAATAGTAACAAAATGGTGGAAAATTCGATTCTAAACTCCCTGTATCTGGTGATTAGATTAAGATATTTAAAATCTCTTTTCAGTTTTGAACTCTTCATGACATGATCTTCCACATTCTGCTTAAAAACTATTAAGATATTGAAAATAAATTTTAACTGGAGGTTTCGTGACGTCATTTTCCCGCCAAAAACCGTTAAATCTCAAAAATAAAAAACATACGATTGTTCGGAATGGAAAGTTATATTGATGTAGCAAGTTTCATGTCCATCCGAAATATATTGAAAAAGTTTATATCAGATGGCCGATTTTTGGGAAGAGCTGACCCGGCGTGAAAGGATAATAATATTAACAAATCCAGCTTATCCGTTTCAAGTTCATTATAGTATGTAGTTACACTGCATGACGAGTTCTGCCATGTATTTAATTAAAAGCCATTTGACTGGGTTTCCACCTTTAGCACGTTTAAAAGCAGCGTGAAGAGAAATGATCGTTGTCTTGAATACTTGAACTAAGCGTCTGCTAAGCGTGACATCTCGTATGCCACTCTCCAAAAGGATGTTATTGACAATAATGGCTAACTAAGACGCATACGTTTGACCTTCTTGTCGCTTGTACTCTGTTGACAATTTGTAAATCAAACTGCACGGTTATATAAATCAGAAAGATACTCATAAATAAACAGAATTTCCCAAAACCTCAATTAATAAAGACTACTGTACAAACGAGTACGCGCGAATGGGGCGTGTTATGAAAAGGGGCGTTTTACAAAATACCGGGCCTTGCTTGCAGGCCCACTATCAGTTCCCTTGGGCCTGCACGCGGGCTATCCACAAACTCACTTGCTTATTTATGCATCAGTCAAATCCAAGCGTGCCCATCCCCCCGGGCTACCCCGGGGCATTTTCCTATAAAGAACGTCCCAGGTTTTGGGCATTTGAACTCAAACCTTTGCCCGGGAGAGGGGCATTTGAAATTCTTTGGATTACTTTACACGTGCCCAAAATACCATGATGTATAAAACCAGTCAAGTTGTCAAATATAAAACGCTAAAATTCGAACGACGCCAAACTTTAAAAATAATTGCGCTAGAGCATGACGAAAACGCGCTAGAGTATGACGCACAATGCTTGGTAGCCTGCAACGCAGGCGAAATACTTGGGCGATATACTTGGCCGATCGAAGAAAGTATTCTCTTTTATATTTTCAGGTAATTGGATAATCTGCTCTTCTTAGCGAAACAGTCCAGCTGTCCCCGGGATGGGGGATTTGCTACTGATTTTTTGCCCTACTGCCGGGCATTTTCACGTGTTTTTTATTCCCGCCCCCGGGAATTTGTTGCATATTTTCAAAAATTGTCAAAAGTCCGGGGTTTGCCCGGGGGGATGGGCACGCTTGGATTTGACTGATACATTAGTGCACAAACGAAGGCAGAGATTGACTCTGAGTCAGAAATTCCCCTTCTATATCATCGGCTGCAGCCTATTCATTTCAATGTTTTGCCTTCTATCAAAATACGCAGAATTCTACGAAAATTTAAAATCTGGCGCTACCTTAAGGCATAGACCTGCGCAGCCTGTTCTAGAGCCAGTTTTCTTCGACAGCCGCGCGCGCGGCTCGTTTCTTCTGTATAGATCTTGACAATTCGCGCATATTTAAAAAGTGCCCTTCGAAATAAGAATTATTTTCAAACGAAAGTGCATTCAAAATATGCCCCAGAACATATATATACTTTCCATTACTGGAGCTACCTAAACACGAATGTAAGAGGAAAAGAAGCGCATACGAAAAAACATCAAATTTGGCGGCAAATTTGTATTGCAAAAGTTGGAAATTATGACACGCGAAATTTGAGTAGACTTTTTATTGCACTAAGTTTGATATGATCGTCCAAACAGCCATTGGCTGGTTTAAATTGAGTACGGATGTATATTGCCTGATTTAGCATTAATTTTACTACAACTGGTTAAAATTTATGCAAAGATTGCTTAAACTTTGCTTAAAAATAGGGCAACCTGTTGCCCCCGCCCTGCCCCCGCACTGTTTGGGCAACCGGGGCAGTTGCCCCCACTGCCCCGTGGCTCCGGCGCCCCTGAAAATACATAGCTAGTTACATATTTACGGTATTACACATAATTACATTCGTACAAAAACTCAGAACATGCATTATGTATCTAATGGATTTCTTTTATATTCAACGGGGTCTTGAAAGTAGAACATGCCGCAAAATTTTGTATAAAAGGTGCACGCGTATTATGCGTGCGTTTTTTTTTGTCTTATTATGTAAATCCATTGTAGAAATATCGTAATTGAAGTTAGCTTGTACTGTATGTAAAGTTATTACTTGGTAATTGATAGGTGTAATTTGATGATGCACATGAATTTATCACAGGGTCGAATTTGACCATACTGCGATATTACAAATTTAGAATTGGTAACAAGACTTGTGATTTCGTGTTTTGTAATTTTTCCTGCATCTGGTATGAATAAATGGTTTTCTAAATTTATCTTATCAGGGTCTGGAAAGTAGACCATGCATTGAGAAATTGTAAACTTAATCCTTGCTTTATACTGTGTACTGTTTCCGTAATC